AAAAATTGTCAGAAAAAAATTGTTAGTACGCGAGGTGAAGCAATTTTTAAATATTAATGTTTTGCTAGTAATCTATCAATTTTGCTGATCTATGCATAAAATCTGTATTATTAATTTTTTACTATAACACCTGACATAAATTTGATTAATTAACACAAGAATAAGATGCACTGTAATTTGTGCTACGTGTTTTGCTTTTTTTTGGATTTTTTGTGCTTTTTTCCTTTTATTTTTGGCAAATTTTTGGAAGTACAAGTTTACAGATTAATGCTCTCTGAGTTTCACAAAAATGGTTGCGTTGTGTATATACCACATGTTCTTGATCATGCTCTTGATTATACTCTTGATCATGCACCCCTCGCTCCACTTCCTTTCGCTCTGAATGGTGCTCCTATTTATACAAAAAAACATGAAAATCCTGTGTAATAGATAATCCCTTTTTGTTATTCTATTTAGCACGTGTACAACCTTTCGAAGTATGATTACCTAATAATTCCAATTTTATTTACGTAGAAATTGCATTACAAAAAAATATGATTAAAACTTGCCACATATACCAAATTTCTGAATTCACGATCTTTACTACGTATAAGAATTTTTGAATTCACGGTTTTTACTATAGGAATTTTAATACTATATATCAATACTTTGATTTTTATTATTATGATGTAAACTCTTTCTACTAATATTCTATCCACAATTATTTTTTTTATTTATACTAGATCAGACAACTATACCGCTCTTCCAAAAATTAAAAATTATTAATTTCATTTTATTCTACATGTTTTTTAAGAAAACTACCTCGATATATCAATTAAACGAATATACATATATGCATCTTCAACATCTGAATTTATACAATTTCCGATTACGTGTCAAGATGCAATCAATAAATGCTTATACCTTCTTAATTAATAATACACTAAGATGTATTTGTATAAATTTGCTCATTTAAGAAAATAAAATATGAAACCCGAAATACAAATATCTTAATTAAAATTCTAAGCCTATTCAAAACCTTTAAAAAAAAATAACCTTAAATTAAATAATCAATGATTGATGTTTCGCAATTACGAATTGAGATATCTAAATTACTATCGTACAACACTGCATATAATACCTCCTTGGAGTAGTATCCCTTTTAAATATTATCAGAATACGTAACTTCTAACATTTTTGAAGGTATCTTGATACTAATCAAGTAATCGAATCAATGATCCAGTTCTGATCAACTTGTATTATTACTCCTTTATACAGTACCCCCGAGGGTATATATTATTTAATTAATCTTTGATCTTTTGTACGTAAAAGACCGGAAATACTATATGCAGCGTTGTATGGTAATTGTATGATATATGTTATATCAAGTTTAAACCTGCTAAAATTTTACCATTTACAAAAATCGATTTCAAATTCATTATCATTAAACCTGAATTGTCCTAAACTAACATTATTTATTAATTTGAATCGATTACAAATTTCAAAATTATTGCAGTTAAACCTGAATTACCTCAAACTAAGTTTTTTAACATGTGTAAAATCTATTTTTAATCGATCATCTAAATCATCTTACTATTCAACAATAAATGCAAACATAAAAACATTAATTAATTACGCTAAAACTATACTGCTCTAGTGGAACTGCTAAAGATGAAAAAACTGCACTTACTTCACGATTTCATCTGTGAAACACCTTCGCCACACTATTAAAAAAAAATTCTTTGCAAGATTTGATATAGTATAAGTCTCTATTTCGCCTAATTATAGTGTTGTATATTAAATGAAGTTTGATGTTTAAACACCCTTGAATTGGACATCCATCCAACGTCCAATCGTGATTTTTGGACTTTGAACATCAATCTTCAACAATTCAACGGTTTCATTAGACATTGGACACCCAAGATCCGATGATTTTGATTGGACATACAACATTGGTTATAAGTCTAATTCATGTATCAATATACTCACATACCACTTACTTATTGCCTATAAAAGGATAATAAAACTTTAATTTCTATCGTATTATCAAAGTTTCAAGATTTAAGCAAAAAACGAAAAATAATCTTTAAAATCTTTTCACACATAACCAAACGATCAATTACCTTTTTATCCACTTTAGATAAATGTAAAAGGAAAGCACATTAAAGCTCAAGTCTAAAATGAGAATAAAAAAAACATCGTTAACCAGTTTACCTTTATTAAATTACAAATTCAAAACCTGTTCAAATAATTTATATCGATATCGATATCGTTATCTAATAAAAATAAATATAAAAAAATATACAAACTTTTGCATATAAAAATCCATCTCATCTAAAAAAAATAATAATTCAATTTTCATTTTTTAATTCTGAAAAAAAAAAATAACATCAATTTTCATAGCTCTATGCTTTATCAAAACCGTCTCGGGAAGTGAAAAATGTATTCATGGAACTGCTATTTACAGAACAAACACTAACGAAGAAGAATTCAGCGAATTAACTTACAAAGGTTTTGTAACCCAAGAATCCTTAATTATGGAGTTAGAAAAAAACTCTATAGTTTTAATGATTGGGCGATATGTTTTCGAAAATACTCAATATGTAAATATATCAAGTATATCCTACGTAATCAGTGTTGGCCATTTCGACTCATATCCGGCTTTATATGACCGAAGTTGTTATAATTTAATAGTAAATTTTATAAGTCATAACAGATCATAAAGTCATAACCTATAATTGACTAATGAGTCATAACGCATCATAGGCCAACACTGTATGTACTTATTACCCAACCCATAACCATAATATGATTTTTTTTTTTTTTTTTTTAAATACCAGCTCACTTTAATACAAACTGTACCAATTTCTACCTCCAATGATGAAATCGAAATTACCTCAAATGACCTACCCTATGCACCTCCATTGTTACTTTTTACTGCTCCCGTTGTTCCTAATTCACACTTTTCCAACAATGAATTCGGTAGAGAGAGCCTCATGCTATCTAAAAAATTATATAATGGTGTTACTGGTCACAAGAACATAGAATCTGAAGTAATTGTTTCTTACACCAACCACAATGGTCGATTCAATGCTCTAAAAGATAACCTAAAAAAAACAGTTCTTTCTGTTATTGGAAGCTTAAAGATTGAAGCAAAAAAGATGATTCATATTATAGCCTCAGACATTGAATGGAACTATGCCAGTAACGAACAAACGTCTGATAACTCAAATAAAGGAAAATCCAAAACTCAAAACAACATCAATGACCATCTTGAAAGTATTGAGGAAAAGTATGCCAAATTAAATTCTTTCGCCTCTAAAAAAAGACCTCGACCAAACTTAACTCCGCCCCCTTCAAAAGCACAAAAGACTGATCCTCAAAACAATATTTCCAAACCTCAAAACGATAAATCTCCAACTGATAATTTTTTACAAGCCGTAGCTCAAATTAGAAATACTGGAGAACTTCAAAATAATATTACCGATAATAGCCATCCAACTACCCTTGAATAAGCTTTCTTACTAACCTTTTTATTTTTTTTTACTACCTTCATGGTTATGTTATCATGTTACCATGATGACGACACATGTCGTATTTTCTTATTAACCTTTATTTTTGCTATTAAACCCCTACAAATTTTACAAATTTAATTCTTTGGTTTTTTTATAACTCAACCGAATCAAATTTTATACCATTTAAAAAATTTTTTTAAATGTACAAAAAACCAAGAAATTTAATTTTCTATGCACTTACAATTAAAATTCATCATTTGCTTTGGAAAATCATTCAATTATAATACTTCAATATGTATAACATGAAATTAAGTCGAAAAAAATTACAGCATATCATAACTTTAAATTATTGCAACTTGTCACTTACTGCTTTACTTTCTGTTCCAAAAAGAGTAAAATCGCCAATTCATAATATATATATATATATCATTATCGTTACACATTTTACGCACTGCCACGTTTATTAGAATAGCAAATTATATAATGATAACAAAATTAATTATTCAAATCGAATTTTATGTACCACATATCACGAGAATAAAAACATACCTGCAATAATTCTTGAACCAGCAACTCCACACAAACAAAATTACATTTATCAAGTTTATTTTACGTAGCACGTTCTTTAAAGAAACAACGACTTTTTAATTATTTAGTGCTTAGCATGTGTTCTAATTTCTATAGAATATTGGTTCAATGTAATCACCAAAAAATTCAGTTACTTAGCTTTAAAGAGCAAACTAAAATAAATTTGATAAATGTAATTTTATTTATATGAACCTGCTTGATACACCCCAACATAGTAATCGCTTGTAACATATTTTAAGAAATTTTCACAGCAATAATTTTCTATATACGTACATACATAAAAAATTATGCAATGGCTGTGGCGTCTTCTTATGTAGTCACCCTATAATTAACAGATCAACACCACGCTTATTTTAGTAACCAATACGTACATTCCTTAATCAAGTCACAAAACCATGCATACATACGTAAAGAATTCTTATCATCGATTTTACACTTTATTACATATATACAAGTACTTGCATTCCCTAAATAATTAACAAATCAACGCCACTATTATTTTAATAACTAATAATCTTCATTCCTTAATCAAATCACAAAATCATGCATGCACAAAGAAATCTTAAACATACCAGAGTAAGATTGACACAAAACGAATAGTTCTATCGAGAATACGCAAAAAAATTACCATTATCAAAAAAAAAATGAATCAAATCCTGTCGCCGTACTAAGCTGTCAAATCTATATATTACCATATATTATTGAAGGTTTAAGAAATTATTGATTCATTAAAGGGATTGTTATTGTTAGTAATGTAAAAGATATCTAGAATAACTTTCAATAATGATACGTACGAAATGTAAATTTATAGAAAACTATTAAGCGCATATTTTACAAAATTAAATCAATCACATTATTAATCAAATTTCAAAAAAATAAATATATAAAAACCCTCTCTCTTGACTTTAATTAAATTTCTCTCAGAACTTGATTCTACAAAAATAACCAAATAATCAATCATACAAAATTTAAATTGAAATTTACTTTTATAAATTCGGCTTCAAATACATATCTCTAAATAAACTTAATAGCGCTAACTTATACCATGATCCAAATCGCTTTTCCAAAATAACTACGCGTATAATAGATCATTACTATAATAAACAAATTAAATTTAATAAAAATTATATTATAATAGTCTTCCTTATTTTACCTTTATCAACAACCAATCATGTCTAATAACGAAATAAACCGTATTCCTCTTCTTACCTCCCTTACAGAAGGATTACATAATTCAGAAAATAATACAGATCCTCAAAGTATTATGCTTTTTGAACCTTATACCCAAAGAAATGAAATCAATCAAAATCTAATCAACGCACCAACCTCTAATGATACAACAGCACTAATCGAAACAAATTTCTTACCTCAAAATATTTATAACCCTTTTACTCCTCAAGCAAGTCTTCTGCATCTCTTAAACGAATTTCAATCAAAAATATTATACAACTATCCCAATATCCCTTGCGCCTATTGTTCAATGCTCATGATGAAATCCTCTGTAAAATAGTTACTTTATGATAATGATGAACAATACACCTTAACAATTGCTTTTCCTAACACCCCTATATATACACATCAAAACAATCGAAATACCACACAAGTGGCTGTTTGTAACGGATACAAAAACAACAATACTCGTCATTATCCTCCAATATTAACAGACATTCCTCTTGAGATCCAAAATGTTCTAATGTTTCACAGAAGATACCTCTCTCCTGTGCATATGAGCTGCTCATTAGGGCGAACTGCTGGCACTAACCACTATACCCATTACCGTCACCTAGAAGGATTAATAAATATCTCACATAACTATCGCACATTAGAAGTTTATTCTGGAACTGCTGGTGCCTATCTAAACACGAATGAACCTCCAAATTGGTTTCATGAAACTCTAATTCCTGCCTCAAATTGGCTTAAACAACATAATGAGCTTATTAAAAAATACGCATCAAACATTAATATTACACACCCATCTCCAGAAAACCCAGTGCCTGTTCTATTACCTCTAGCAAGACAATCAATTAATACTCAAGAATCATTCTCTAACATATATCGCAGTAACCTTCCAGACAAAACCTCACGTCCCTCCGACTTAGTCGTTCCCAATGATTCATTCCCTCTAGAAATTCACAATGAAGACTCGCATTATAATCGATTAGTAGCTGGATCAATAAATAACACTAACCTTCCCATCCTATTTAATAATCCTGATTTAGAAGCATTAATATTTCCTGACCTATTTTCTAATAGTAATAGTTATTATGAAAATATAAGACAACTTTTAAACTTTCAACCTTCATTAGAAAGTTATGGAAAATATATAAAATTAAGAATGTTATGACCCGATCCTCGATTCCATCTACATTGGTATTGGCCTCATTGGTCATATCTAAACTTAGAAAAAAAATGAAACTTCCAAAACCAACACCGAATATTATCAACCCATAATGTCAATAGAGAACATCATCCTACAAGAGCCGATTTAATTAGTAGAAGTTCTTACAATAACAGAAACATTTTAAATGAATCAATAACGACTACACTTCCTCAAGTCTCAGAACTGCCTCACCTTTTTTTAAAAAAAAACAACTACAAGTCAACACAATGATATATGGGGTGAGTCAGTAGAAAAGAGACAAATTTTTTCTAAGTAAAAGTTTTCTTAACTTTAAGATTAAATATTTTAACAACTATCTTATTAAATTTAATGAATTTTTTTTTATTTTAAATTTATATAATTTCAAAATTAAAATAAAAAATTTTTTAGCAAATTTAATTAAATAATTGTTAAGATATTTTAATTTAAAAATTAAAAAAATTTTACTAAAAATGATTTGTCCCTTTTCTACTGACTTACCTCCATATGCCTACAGTCTGCCACAAATATTCTATACAATAACCATGGCTGAAGATAAATGGCCACAGCTAAGAGAAATCTTAGAATCAACAGACAATAATGATATATTACCAACCAATCGCCCATTACACGTCTACATGTTTTATCGCAACTACTTAAATAATATCCGTAGCAAATTATGGAAGAATCAAAATTTAGCCAGGTGGGGGAAATGGGAACACTATTTTGAACATGATGAATTTCAAAATAGAGGAACAATACATACACATAGCTTCGCCTACACTAAAAAAAAAATTCCTGAATTAATTCACCTTAATTTGATTCGTGTCAACGTACCAGACCCTAATACCGAACCTGAACTATATCGTCTAGTTACAATATTCCAAATACACTATTGCGATCACAAATGCGGAGGACCAACCTCCAATGGTGAACAATGTTCTAAAGGTTTTTCCCAACCTCTGTCCCAAATAACTTACTGTTCGCCTAACACTTTACGCTATGTTTATCGTCATACTAAAGAAGAAGATCGCATGGTCATTCCATACCACCCTGAAACCCTATTAATCTGGAGAGAACACATAAATTTTCAATACATTACTATTACTGGATTTGCAAAATATATAACAAAATATGTAACTAAAGCCGAACCCTCAGAACTCTTTGATATTGATGAAAATGACGAATATAGATGACATATCATGGTTCGACGATTAGGAGCAATGGAGTTAATGGTACTTCTACTCCAATACTCACTAACAAGATGTTCCGTTTCCGTACACTATTTCCCTTCTGCACCTTCTGAACTGAGACTAAGATCTGTCAAGCCCATTCATTTATTAAACACAAGAGACGATAACAACGATGACAATCCTGATAATGACAACACTCCCTATTGGGACGATGCAATTGATAAATACTTTGATCATCCTGACCATAAAGACTTTCAATCCATCACTTATCCCGAATATTTCAAAAATTACGTTATAAGCACCAAACAACCCAGCCAACATTCAAGATCTTTTCATACCTGCGATCGCAAAAATAGAATAGTTAAACGACGTAAACTGCCCATTCTCCTAAGATTCACACCATATAAAGTTGAAGATGGAGAACCTTTTTTTTTTAACATATCCTAATGAAAATCTCCGCAAGATTAGAACAAGAATTATTAGGGCATCATTCTATATATAGAAATCATTTTCAATCCATATTTCCCATTAGATATCAACAAGCAATTGATTCACTACGCAAAAGTCATCTAGAAGAAAGAGACAACTTATCAAATGCCTATGAATCAGTTATAAGATCTCTTTTAGCCGAATTCCAAAACCAAGATTTATCTAAGTTTATGTTCGCCCAATTTCTTTCTCTAGAAAAATATCCTCCACACACAAACTTCCAATCTTCATTAATACTAGATACTAATCAATATAGTATCTACAATACATTATGTAATGTCTGGGGAAAATTTAGCAACGGAAAACATCCTTACTTCCTTTTAACAGGTCTAGCTGGAACCAGAAAATCATTTATGATAAATCAAATCATT